AGAGAGAGAGAGAGAGAGAGAAAGGTAACAGAGAGTAAACAGAGAGAGAGAGAGAGAGGTAAACAAAGAGCCAGAGAGAGAGAGAGAGTGGAAGGTAAACAAAGAGTCAGAGAGAGAGAGAGAAAGGTAAACAAAGAGTTAGAGAGAAAGGTAAACAGAGAGTGTGTGTGTGAGAGAGAGAGAGGTAAATAGAGAGTGCGAGGTGTACAGAGAGCGTGACAGAGCGAAGGAGGGAGTAAAACGAGAGAAAATGTAAACATGTCGCTTTTATTGCAGTACTATTGCGAGCATTGCTGGGCAACGATTCATTCTCGACCGGGTCGGGAGTTCCACAAACCGCTGGTGAAGGAGGGTGCGGATCGACCTCGAGCCGTGCCTTACCGCTGGTGTTAACCCCAGCTGCGTTGTCCCTAATTATCTCGCAACCCTAGCTAATTAACTACCGCTCGTACGAATCCCCCCATCCCACCCATCCCCCAGCCCCAATCAACCTCCCTCCAAGCCAGGCATCCTTCCGCGAGACCCGCTACCTATCATTATACCCCCCACTTTGAGCCCGCAACCTCGCGTTAACCGAAGTCGAACTCGACCGAACTCGGTTTACCTCACCTCCCCGCGCCCGACAGTCAGCCACACCTCCTCGTCACTTACTTTATCTATCGAGATACAATCCGAAAATCACACAGTTTCTACTACTGCTACCCACTCGATCGTCGGTAACTAGCACTATTCTATTACTCTACCACTATTATCGCCTACCACTATTACTGCTCTATCGCTACTACTACTTACAACTACTACCTACTACTACCTACTACTACTACTACTACTACTACCACTACTACTACTACTACTACTACCACTACTACTACTACCACTACTACTCTACTACAAACTACTACTAGTACCACGATATTCTACTACGACCAGTTACTACTTGTGCTCCACCGCTACTCGGGACGCAACGCCGAGCCGATTTGCTCGGCGAAGAGATCCAACATCCGAATATGCTGTTCGTTTCCCGGACGCCGATCGCATCTCGACGTCGCGCCGATTCCACGCGCTGCGATCGGAGAAGACGTCGTCGAAGAGGTGAAGAAGAAAAAGAAGAAGAAGTAGAAGGAGTCGTCGTCGTCGAGGAAGAGACGAAATCGTCGAAGAAGAGGAGAAGCGCCGCGTCGCCTGGAAGATGTCGACGCATCTGCGACGAAGGAACGAGCGCGCGAACGGACGCGCGAAACGACCAACCGAAACGGTGGTCGCCGGTGATTGTGCGCGAGACGACGCGCGCGCGGACGAGTCGCGCGTGAAACGCGTCGGTCGTGTTTCGGCGCGCGCGTCGTCGGTTGGTTGGTCGCGTCGCGGAGGCAAACGCTCGCTTGTCCGTTCGCCGCGTCTCTTCGTGATCTCGCGTCGAATCGTCGGTGGTGTTCGGATATCCGATCCAGGATCGCGCGGCGCCGTCGCGACCGAAGATCGTTCTCTCAGCCGCGCGCGGCTTCTCTTCTTTTGTGGAGCGAGTCTCTCGCTGGAGAGAACGCGACGGACGATCGCGCTCGGTCCCATCCCCCCCTCCGAGAGAAGCCGACGACTTCTGTCGAGCAAAGAAGAGCCGCGCGACCGCGTCTCCTCTCTGTGGCTCGGCGAGCGCGCAGCGTCTCGGGGGACGAACGCCGGGGAAAACGGACTCGCGAACGGAACCAGAAATGGTAAGAGAGAAACCTGGGCGCGGGTGCCTCCGATTCGACGCGAGATACACGATCGACGTAGTAGACAAATCTAGGAATATACGTAGGGACAGGATGAGAGAGAGAGAGAGAGAGAGAGATCGCAGAGTCGACGGGAACGAGAGCTGGTAGAAAAACGCGAAAACCAGAGTGATAGATAGTCAGAGAAAGCGAAACCAGACTACGAACCGTTCGCGAATCAATGTTGAATAGATAACGAATATCATCCACGCTTCGAACCGCTGTGTATTAGTTAATTCTCTGTATCACACAGTCTTTAGCTCGTAAGGACTTAATCGATATTGTTACGTAGAGGGTACGTTTCTAACGTACGCGTACCCCTATATACGTGTGACCGCACGTGTACGTGCGTGTGTATATATATATATGTGTTTGTGTACATGTAAATATATACATTTACAGGACACGTATATACGTATTGTACGTGTGAGTTTTTCGCGTGGGACGGAACGCGATCTCGCGCGTTATTGTTCGCGGAAGAATATTCGAAAGACACGGATGATTTTTTACCCATTAACTTAACCGAGTGCGAGATGTAGCAAAAATTGAACAAGCGGAAAGAGAGAGAGAGGAAGAAGAGAGAAAGCGAGAGAGAGAGAGAGAGTCGTAGCGAAAACTGAGTGGGTGCGACGCGAGGAAAGAAAGAGAGACGAGTGACAGAGGGAGAGCGAGAGAGGGAACGAATGCACGGTGAATGCGTGTGCAAGCAAATCGCGAGAGATACGCGACGAGGGTGATCGAGGGAGAGAAAGATAGAGAGAGAGCGAGAGAGACACGATGATCTAGGAAGGAAAACAAGATATAGAAATCGAAGGCTAGATGGGTAATTTAAAAAGTTGATAGTCAAATTTGCTTAGCCCGCGATCCGGCCGTACCTGATTCTCTGCCAATACCTCGAGGCCGTTTTACGACGAGCAACCCCGTTCGAGGTCTCGAAGGGTCGTTCGCTAGGGAGATGGAGAAGGGAGAGCGAGCGAGAAGCGCGCGAGCGATAGCAAAATAATAACTTGGGCCGCGTTGGTGTCGCATCGGACGGAAACAATTACGCTCTTACGCTGTTGAATTGTTGCGCGGGTAATGTGGGAGAGTACAAAATCGAAGGTCGCATGCGTCGCGTCCACGAACTCTGGGAAAAGCTGACCGCGGGAATTGATCGATTCCGTTCGGAAAGGATCGGCGTATAGGCGGGGACGAAGAGGCGGGAGAACGAGAAGACGCGGAACGTGGACGCAGTAACTGGGTCACACACAAACACACACCACGAATCCTTTCTCGAGGAAAACGAGCGGTGCTTGTATCTCTCGCGGAATCATACTCGGAACGCTACAATACTGTAAAATAATCTAGCCCTCGTGCACCGCGAGAAACGTGGTCATCGAGGACGGCGAACAAGAGAGAGAGAGTGAGAGAGCGTAGATTGTTCCTCGTCCTCGACGATAGCGACGCGAAACAGCCGACGGTCGTGTTCGTAGTTAATTTTAGTCTTGATACGTCCTATAGATAATTGGAAACAGGCAAACAATACGCGCGCGACCTGTAAAATTGTTTTCGCGCGGACGAACGTGTTTTAGATTCATAGTTAACATCTCGCATGTGGATCCCTCCTTCTTGTACATAACACCGATTCCTCCGAGACACGATGATAACGAAAGCGGTCACGATGCGCGCGCGCGAGAATCAACTTCGATCGAGAATAATTAACGCGTTTTCTCTTCGTAGCAAACGAATCTCTTCGCTCGGCATATAATAATCAAACGCAGTGAATGCGATCGACGTAGTTTAAAGGAACAAATAACAAACAAAAAAAAAACGTAAATATCCTCTCTCGACCGAGATACACGCGTAATCGCTTCTAATTTTTCGAGGGAGAACCGCGCGCCGGTCTTCCGGCGAGTCCCGAATCTGTTTCGGAGAAGACGAAGAAATAGGAAAGAGAGAGAGTGTGTGTGAGCGAGTGAGCGAGCGAGAGAGAAAATGTGCGCGTGGAAGAGAGCGAATGTGTTGTTCCTCCAGCTTCTCGGGAAACGGCGAACGGGAGCAACGAAAGCGGCGCGCACGGAGCTCCGCGTTCTGCTTAAATAGATGGACGTGTTCTGTACGTAGCATTTATCATCGGTCGAAACCATATAAGCTCGTAGATTAACCTCGCACGACGAGTACTCGTTAAACGACACACTATAACGCGCGTGCCGCGCTTGCACGCAGTCGCATAGACATGCACCGGGACGCCAGGAAAACAACACCTACACACTCATACACACGGGATATATACACAGACACCGACACGCAGGAGCGCGCGCGCGCGCGCGCTTAAACACACTACGATCGATAAAAAGAGAACACCCACCTGTGTACGAATCGATGGATCAGGCGATCGCGAATCGACCGATATATTATTATCGCGAGGGTCCGATAACGAGGAATGGACAAACAAAAGTAATCTCCGCGTCTATATATACATATACATATATTTATATATATATACATATATATTTATTTTTTTGGTACTGTTTTTTGTATATACTTGTCGCCGTAGATTAGGTGACGTTTAGGCACCGCACGAGGTACGAGCTCTGTACGCTCGGATGAAACGAAGCGCGAAGATAACTCGGGGACGCCGCAGACAAGACACACACGCGCGAGAG